GGGCGGGGGACGTGCCGCCTCCGGGGCCGGGCCGGGCAGCCGCGGCTCAGCGCTGCTTAGCAAAGGCCCCGCAGGTTTTGGATTTTTTTTAGTTTGTCAATCCTTTTTGTATTATTATTATTATAAATGTGTGTCCCAGGCCAAATTAGCCCAAATAATTCCAAACGCAAGAGTCCAGGCCCGTAAGTGGCCCAGCTACTGGCAAACCTCCCCCCGCCTCCTGCGGCATCGGATGTTTCCAAAACCTCTGGCAGGCGTCCTAGGTGCAGGCCCACGCCTGGAGACTTGGGGTTTGGATGCCCCGAGTTTTGCTTGCTCTTAGCCATAAAGCCTCGGAGCAAGCGAGGGAGGAGATTCCCGTTCCCAAAAACGGGGCTTAAGGCCGTTGCGGCCCGGCGGGCACTGAACCACGCCGGAAGAGCAGTTCTCCTGCCCTGCGGATGAGGAAACCTGCCTTCAGGGACACAGACACGTGGTGTTTCCCCTGCCAGGTTAAGAAGTGACTGCACCTGACCTGAGCCTTCAAGAGGCTGAGAAATGATCTATTTTTAAACTTGGGTCGTGACCCTTTTCAGAGAGTCTTGCCACCCACTTCTGGGCCGCGACCCACGGGTGTTTTAAGCAGCGAGCCATTTGCACAAGCGGCTTCTGGGCTCTCTGCCGTGCCGTGCCGTGCCGTGGGGAGAGCTCCTGAGCGCTCGGTGCCCTCCAGAGAGTCCCTCGGCCTGGACCAGGTCCCGCTGCTCATCGCCAGGGATTACCCGTGCGGCTTGGATACTTGCTTTGCTCCATCATGATCATCTTACTGGCACTGCGGGCTGTGGGTGACCTCAGGTTACAAGGAGAGTCTCCTCTCCCCTCCGTTTCACACCACGCTATTTATAGGGAACAGTTCAGCGTTCGTTGAAAGAAGGGACAGGACATCGTCATAGATTCCTCCGGATCTTTTCTGATCCCAGAGATCTCATGCAGGGGGAGGGGGTCCACCGTTCAGCCTTGTGGGAGTTCAGCTTTGTAGGAAAGAGGGCTAAAAAAAAAAGTGGGGCAAGGGGGAGAAGTCCAGGATCCCATCACTGAGATGCCCACCTGCATTTCCAGGAGTGCTGCAGTGGCAGCCTGCCCTCTGGCTCCTATTTCTCCCATGCAACTCGTCTGGAAATGGTCAAGGGGCTGGGGCACATGACTGATGAGGAGAGGCTGCGGGAACTGGGCTGATTTAGTTTGGAGAAGACGAGACTGAGAGGGATTGGATAGTGGAGGGTAGTTCCAAAGAGGCGGGAGCTACACCACCGGTTCCCAAACTGTGGGTTGCGACCCCAAATGAGGTTGCAACATCAGCGGATGGGGTCAGGGGTGGGGGGGCTCTGGGTTGGGAGTTAGGGGCCCTGCTGAGGAAACAGGGCCTAATGGGGAAAAGTTTGGGCAGCGTTGAGCTGGCCTGTTCTCAGTGGGGGCAGGTGACAGAACAAGGAGCAAAGGGCTCCAGCTGCAGCAAGGGAAGGTGAGGCTGGATACTAGGAAAAACTTTTTCGCGAGGAGGGTGGTAACACATGGGCTCCCCAGGGCTCTCCATCCTTGCAGGTGCTGAAGACCCAGGTAGAGTGCTGAAAACCCTTGGGGTGAGATCGCTGGGGACGGTCCGGCTTGGAGCAAGGGCTCGGACTACATGTTACCTCCTGAGGTCCCCTCCAGCCCTCACGGCCTAGGACTTCAGCACAGGTAGCTGCCCCCAGCTCCAGCTCCCATGCAAGTGATCTGCAAAGCTGGGCTCCCTGCCCTGCCCCACCGCACTACAGCTTCCAGGGGAGGCAGAAACCCCCTTCCAGAAGCCCAGTGAGAGAGAGAAAGAAAAAAATGTGTGTGTGTATACACACACGTATATATATACACACGTGTATGTATGTGTGTGTGTGTATTTGTACACACACACACATACATATGCATATATATATACACATACATACACACACACACACACTTTTTACCTATCTATCTATCTGGGGATGTAGGCTGTAACTGTGTTGGCCTAAGGACACAGGCAGACAAAGTTCTTTGGGTAAATCTAATATCTTTTATTAGACCAGCTCAAATTTTGCTCTGGTCTAATAAAAGATATCAGATTTACCCAAAGAACCTTGCCTTTTTTATATATAGGGGTGTGTGTGTGTGTACAAACACACACGCGCACACACCGATATATCGATATAGATGTCTATAGCTAGATAAATCTACCTATACCTAGATACCTATCTATAGCTAGATATCCCTATCTCTATCTATCGCTGTCTGTGTAGATACCCGTGCAGACAGCTGTCGATATCGCTGTGTAGCTCCCCCCACCTCGCTGCCCCTCCCCCGCCCAGGTGTAGGTGTTGCTGGGCGGCGGGACAGGGGGCGGGCGCTCCGGGGGGCGGGTGCTGGGCGGTTGCCGCGGCAACCGCGGGAGGCACCGCCCCTCGGAACGCGGCCCGGCCAATGGGC